GAAAATTTTACTTAAACAAACAGGGTTTTAAATCGAAAAGAACCTACTTTAAAATTTGAGACATAGCTACGAAGGAACTGAACGACGATAATGCAGATCGCTACTTCACCGTGCTTTACCGGACAAGCTAGTTCCGCGCTTAAATAAGAGAGGTCGCTGCCATCGACTTGTTTAAGCTCTGTAGTAAAGTTTACACTTCATACTTCGCAAGCAGTGGTCATCCAAGGTTTAATACAACTCGTTCATCCAATTTTCAATAATTAACTAATTAAAGTTTTTATTTTGTTCGCTTAGTTTTTTTTAAACTAAACCTTTTTGTCTAAGAATTTTTTTGATATTCATAACATTCGATGTTCGACAATGTTTATTTAATCGACTTTTTAACGCTTTTATTACAAATAGTTTACTCACATCGGTTGAGCTGTATGGGAGCAAAAATTGTTGAATTGATTTTTTTTTTTAATGTTTACAGTATTTCAATCATCATAAATTATTTTCCTCTCGGTGAACCGTATGCAGAACTAACTCATGTTCTAGTCACTATCGACCAGAATGTTTAAATCCTATCATGGATTCCTTGAAAAATCACGGCAAATCCGCGGTCACAAGTCACTGTGATCCTGAAAAATCTTTATATAACTGATCATAGTCCTGATTATGAGAAATTGTAAAAATACGATATTGTAGAATTTATACCACATTTACGTTACCTGAAATGTAAGTAGAGGGCGCCTGCTTACAGCATTAAGCACGTGATGCGTGAAGCCTTTGACGATAGAGGGAGCCACGTGTAAGCAGTGCTTGCAAGTATTGCGGTTTTGCATAATTAAGGCGTTTTGTTTGTGCATTGCGGGTCTATATTTGAGTCGTTTTAAGGAATTTAAACCACTTGTTGGACAGATTCAGTGATCAACAAATATTCTGTTTTGTTTATTGTTTATTTATTTTATTTAATTTCTAACATATGTCAAGAGTATTTGTACTTTTCTTGACACATCATATAAAAAGATTTTTCTAACTATTTTGCGCCAAATTAAGTATCTAAAAACTAAAACGCCAATTTTCCATATTATGCTTTTTTCTTGTCTTAGTATACCCTCAGGACCCAGGAGGTTTATTCAACATGCTCCATATAAGAGATTTACATAAATTTGATATTATTTATTGTACATACAAACATCCTACAGTAAACTAAAAACTAGAGTTGTATTTTGTAATATCTAGGAAAGCTAATGTTTTGAAATTAATAACTATTCATATAACTTGGACCGAACGTGAATATTTTATAATAAATAATTTAAAACATTAGCAGAAACTAAAGACAGATTTATTATTTAATGAGAACTTTATTGGATCTGTTGTTACTGCAATAAGATTAACAGTCTAAATTATATTGTTTAAATTTTTATAGATTCAATTTAACTACTGTAATTATTAAACTGACACTTTAATTTTATAAACTGGTTTTTAATATGAGAAAATAAGTGAATTATTTATGTAAATTGAAAAAACTCGGTGGTTAGACCATTTGACTGTCATTTACCTCGCTAGCGGTTCTCGGTTCGAATCTCAGCACAACCCATGTAATTTTAATTGGAATAGGATGAAAAAAATATACTTATGTGTCTGCGATACTTAACGCATTGTTGAATGTTAAGTTCTGCTGGATGACAGAAATTACTTTATTTTAATTTTTAGTACATATATTTATATTATAATAATTTCAACAAATTAAAGCTGTTAACATTTAATTTGTTTCTATAAAAAGAACTCTGAATGCATATCAGGCAGTAATAACGATTCCAAAAATTTTTGAGAATCGTTTTGTATCAAATTTATTTGATGGCTAACATTCCAAAATAATAACAGATACAATTTAAGGACAACATCAGTCGCAAGAACAGTTTGAGTCTTCCATAATTTTAAAGCTGTAATTCGTTTTAGTAATTAAGCGATCGAAGATAGTTTGAAGGGACATTTGAACTTCGTTCTATTTTCGACTTTCCTTAATTTCACGTTACACTGCATTTTGAAGTAATGGTTGGTAGAACTATGATTGGTGATCATTGACTCGCAAATAATAAGCAGTTCTTTAGAGTAATCCTTAGCTAATGAGTGTGCTATCATGCCGCCAATGCCAGTGTTAGTGTGAAATGTGCAGATCAACTATGATTAACAAGTTTTTGTACAACCTTTTTTACTCTGTGGAATGGTGATGGTTAGGTACAGTGCCCAAGGTATCAAGCGCAACTTTACTATCAATGTATAGTGATTAGTGACCGTTAATCGTTAATTATTCAGAAATCGTGAGATGCGGTCTGGTGTGATGTAGGTTTCAGAAAAACATTTTCTTTAGCGTGCCATCGTTTCGATCTTTATTGAGATCATCTTCAGGGCTCGAAGTGCTTGTCTTCTGTGTAATTGTGCCATTCACAGCGTGTCGTGTTTAGAGTGCCCTAGTCGTGTGTGTTTCTATCAATTTAACTCGGTTATTAAAATAAATGAAGAAGTGTGTGGTGTTTCCTGACCGTTAGTTAATAATTATTTAGCGATCGTGAGATGCGGTCTGGTGTGATGTAGGTTTAGAAAACACTTTTTTTCTTGCCAACGTTTCAATCTTTATTGACATCATCTGAGGGACTGGGATTTATAAATATTGTTTAAATTATACACCATTGAATAAATTCATTTTCGCATCTTACATGTATTTGTATAATTTAAAAAATGTCTATAAATCCCCGTCCCTGAAGATGATCTCAATGAAGATCGAAACGTGGGTGGTATAAAGAAAACGTTTTTCTAAACCGACAACCCACCAGACCGCATCTCACGATCTCTAAATAATCATAAATGAATAAGTAATACACATCTTATACTTGTTACCAATTTGAAACAAGTGTCGACTCGAATAAACCATAAGATTTTATCAAATCAACAAAATCATTTTTCTTTTAATTTTTTATCCTTTTGATAAATTATTTTTTATAATAAATTCTCACATTTTAACCTAGACTCTGCCACAGTTTCGGGGTTCAATTTAACCAATTTTGTATTGCCTTATCATAAAACCCATTATTTTTTGGAAATTTTGGCACCAGAATTAGGAAGTTCTATGAAAAATTAAAGAAAAAAACATTCTCTTGCTCAGTAAAATGACTTGGGCGGATATAAACTGATAGTTGGTATGAATTCGAGGCAAGTTTTGGCAAAATAAAGCATTCAAAACAACTTTCAAAAGCGGAATAAACGCCAATGTCCTTTCTAAAGCTTGTAAATATACGGTCGTCGACAAAATTATAAAACCGAAATAGAAAAATCGGGCAATCACGAGCAAAATTCGCCGATATTCAATTTTCAAATAATCGGGTGAATCCAGACTTCTCTTATCGTCACTTATGTACCTACCATTCCTCCTAAACTAATGACGGGTTGGTTTGAACACATTTAGGAGGCCTATTTCATCACAAAAGAATAAAAATGAGCCGAGTCCAAATTTGAGCAATAAAAAGATGCATTTTTAAAATGACAAACGATATCTTCTGTAATTTGGTGTGAATTAATCAGGTACTTTTTGATAAAAAGGTACATGAAAAATCACAAATCCAGTGCAGAGGATTTTAAGTTTTTAAACCATTTGATTACACCAAGATAATTTTGGAATTGCACTATTATTAATTTCTTTATTGTCCTTCTTTCAATTAATTATACTTTTTCTCTAAGGTCTTGGCTGAGATGGAAAAGTTAGTCAGCGGGATTCGAACCTACGACTATACGCCGCTGCTCTAACCACTTCAGCTATCGTGACTTCGATCCAATCGAACTTCAGCTACACCCTTTCGAATTTTACCTCTTTTTGCAATTTTTTTTTTCAAATATCAAGTAATAATCGAATCCTACGATTCTCAGCAATTTATGAAGAGTCCACGAGGAGCTGTTAGCGAAGTAATAACTTATGTAATTGTTATATTAATCTATACGTATTAGTAATAATTAACCGTACTAATTATTTCAATTAATTATACTTTTTCTCTAAGGTCTAGGCTGAGAATTCACTTAATCAGTATTTCTAACATAACATTACTTACGCTGTTGATCTTTTGTTTTTGGACTGGATTGAAAATGCGATTGTAATAAATGATATTAAAATATACAAATCCGTAGCCTATGTTTCATTTTCAAATTTGATTTTAAATTTAACTTATTTATTCTTACATGTGTGCCTTCAATTGTTCAATTCAATTATAAATGTTACCTATAAGAAATTGCTAGTTAGAACAAAATTTTTGAACCATAGTCATATGGGTTTTTATTAGCGAGGTACTGTTAAATTTTATTATAAATTATTGTTTTTGATAATTTGAACAGTGTATATTAATAATTATTTATAATTTTATATAGATGACTATTTTCACCATGTTAAATGTAGTATGCTGGTAGTGTAGTATAGTTAAATGTGCTTCATAACGTTAAACCCAATACGTTTTTGTAATAGTTTTACCAGGTTAATCTTTTTCTGCACTCTTGGGAAAGTATGTACATTATTTTATTTTCTTAATTGTATATTATTTATTTTTTTATATATTTTTATATTTTTTAATTTTTAATAAATAGGCCCTGATGATGGCACTATAAGTTGCCGAAAACTTGGTGCACCCAACAATTAGTCTTCTTCTTTCTTCACCTGTCGCCTCCATGAAGATTGAAACTCCACATACATTCATATTTGATAAACATGAAAGATTTTTTAGAATTTCAGTTGGTTTTTGTTTGTTGAATACTACCTTTTTGAACATAAATTGTGGTTGATTCTGAATTGATATAGATGGTTTTAGTATTTTGGGTTTCTCGTTTTCATCAAGAAATTCAAAACCAAAATTAATAGACCAATTGGTCTAGTTGTCCATCAAACTGTTGTTTTCGGCAATGCTAAACAACTCGGCCAATACATTTTGACATATTTTGAATTTATATTTTCAAGGTGGTAATAAAACAAATTTGAATTCTCTTACAATAGTTTTTATCCATAAATACACAACTCTACAATCTTACATTTATATAATTTTGGTACATTACATGTACATCAATAGTAATTACGGATCCGATAATAAATAAATACAGATGAACAGCAAATTGCAGTTATTTTCCGAAATATGAACATAAATGAGATATGCTATTAAACTATAAACAACAATTTGTCCACACATGCCTATATCTATAAATATGTATACAGATTATTATACAATAAAACATAACATTTAATTACAATTCTTTTCGTAGGGTGCAGGGGGATATTGCACAATCTTATCAAAGATCCGAGAGGAGAATCTAAAAATAAACAGCCATTCACAACGATTTTTGTCCCGAGTGTGCACCGTGTTCTAAAACCAAATTTCTTTCTAATAGGAACCACACAGTGATTTAGCTGAATTCTCACTAAACAAAACAAATAAAAACATAAGGGAAAATAGAGAAATTCAAAAACGATAAAAGGGTTCTATTAATTTAATTTGTATTTTATATATCATATAGCTATTCCATTTATTTATTACTTCATGCTCAAATATTTCGATCTTTACCCTGTAATAGAATATCATCTATAATATATTATTTTGAAAGGATGGGTATATATTAAGTTGAATATTCTTTGAAAGGCTTCTTATTCCAAGTACAACGAAGTGAAATCCTTTGTCTTTTACTCTAAACCACAATTTTACAAAAATAATAGTCGAAATTATATGTGACCTAATTAGAGGAACATATTTGGTATTTTAACAATGTAGTATTTTTAACCCTAGATATTACAAAACCATGTTGCAAACATTTATTATGCACATATAGTAAATTCAATCGTGAATTATATTTACAACAAGTTTATTAAATATTAATTTTTAAATAAATATTAAATCCCTTTTCTTTTTTCATAATATATATTTATTTTTTCAATGGGACCAGAAGTTGATTTTTTACAAGTTTTGTCGAGGTAATTCATACTTTTTAATGTCAATATCATTTAAATAATTTGAAACGTAGGCTCTCCTCTATAATGCTTAGATAACATTAAATAACATTTCCTCTTTATATACACAAAATACGTACTAATGAGATTTACACACATTTATACATACAAATCGTAATTATACATAAAAATACAAAATATTATGTAACAAAAACTCTCTTTAAAAGTAATAATGGTAAAAATAAATGCAAGAAGCAATTGATTGAAAACGTCGGAATCACATATCACATTATCTTTAAGTACTCTCACTGACAAGGCGGTTTAGAATCATAAAAATATGTAAGTCTTTTATAGAATAAAACTTGGCAATGTTTGTGGAATGTAAATCAAAAATTTAAGAATTACAAAAAATGCGAATCACACTGTGAAAACAATCTCTATTCGATTGATTGAAGTGTGTTTCGCAGATCTGTAATACTTTGTCACGTTTTAAAGTAAATCAACAACTGACTTGCTAATCTATTCCCGAAATAAAATTAACAACAATCGGCATAAAAACTATCAACAATTTTTCATATCTGTATAAAACTTAAAAGAATTAACATAATAAGAGTTAAAGCTTTCAATATTTCCGAGAAAAAAAACCAAGTGCTTCGCCATGTTTACCAGTCCCAACAAAGACGAAACCAAGAGATGAAGAATAGTATACATAATAAAAGGGGAGGAAAGAGATGAAAATTTGAGATAACTCTAGAAACTTTTCTAATAAGTACAAAGGAAAACTATAATTAAAAACTATTTACAACAGGATCGATGAAAAACTTTGGCGTCAATTACCTACAGTAAATTTTTTGTTTGTTAAAAGATACTGAGCTCAGTTTCTGTCCAAGAAAGACAAACAGTGATTAAAAATGTCATATCAAGTACTTTTTTAGTAAATGCTCTGAAGCGGTCTCAGCCCAGCCCATGGAAAGAGTCATGTGGTGGCGGCGTCCTTCGGTGTGGAAGCCGCCGAATCCTCGTCGCCGCTTAGCATCGAGGGCAAACTCTGGTACTCAACTTTGATGTTCTGATTCACGACACATTTTCGCATGTGCTTTTCCAAGGTGGACGGGACAGAAAAGGGCATTTCACAGAACCTACACCTGTAGACGTCTTTACCCATCCGTCCGTGAGTCTTCATATGACGTGTCAACTTGGAGCTCTGGGCGCAGGCGTAGGAGCAGAGTTCGCACTTATAAGGCTTTTCGCCGGTATGCGACCTCCTGTGGACCGTCAGGTTACTGCAGTTCTTGAATACTTTACCGCAGAATTCGCAGGTGTCGTTCCGTCTAGTCTCTTTCTTGTTCTGGGAGGGAAGCCCCAGGTTGATCGCCGCCGCTGCGGCTGCTGCTGCCGCCAGTGTAGCGCTGGTGCTTGGGTTAGAAGATGACTTCTTTTCTTTCAGCAGATCCGAATCTGTTCCGTTCGTGCCGAACATCTGGTCCCTGTGGTGTACCGCCATGGGTGGGAGCCACATACCGGTGAAAAGACTGTCTCTCTCGTTAGTCCTTACCAGGCCATCCCTCTGATCCAACTTCAGTCTTTTACTTGCGTCGTAAGGATTGTCAAAAGGGGCGCCGAATAGACCGTGTGGCCCGCCGACTAAATCCAGCGGAGGCTGGCTCGATATCATGTTTTTTGCAAACTCTTCTCGAAATCGTAAAGCGGCCGCAGATTTTTCCAAGAGGCCGTTTTCAAGCCTAGGCTTATTGTTGTTGTCAGAAAGGAGATGAGACCTGTGAAGTAAATCGTCTTTTCTTGATATAAGGTGATGAGCCCCTATCGACTCTTGTAGCGCCTGTTTATAAGCTTCACTGTACTGTTGAATGGTGCTGAGACCGTATTTGTCCATGAGCTCACTGACGAGCGAACCTGAACCGACTTTATCGACGCCGTTGGGTGAATTTGTACCTTTGCCGTCTGTCACGGCAGGTGGAGTCGATGAAGACGACTTTGTGGTTAGATCTTCGGGGGCATCACCTCCCACATCGTCGTCTTCGTCCCCTTCCTCTTCCTCAAGCTCCATTTCTTCTTCGTCATCTTCCTCTTCTTCCTCTTCTTCTTCATCATCGTCCATCTCTTCATCTTCGTCATCGTCGTCTTCGGCGGTACCGATAGAACCTTCATTAGACATTTGATCAGGTGTCGAATGGACCGAACCTCCTCCGTTCGGATTGGTCCCATCCTCTCCGCCGGAAGTCTTACTTACACTTCTTTTGTGCACTTTCATGTGCCTTTTTAATTTGGAACTCTGCGAGCAGACGTGACTGCAGACATTGCATTTATAAGGTTTTTCACCCGTGTGAGTTCTTTTATGGACAACTAAACTGCTCTGAAATCGAAATTTTTTGCCACAGAACTCGCAAGAATGAATTTTGCCATTTTCCGATGCGTCCATCGATTCGGCTTGGGCGGCCATAGAAAAATCCGTCGGCTTGTTCGGAGGTGTAGAGGTCAACCGCGGGGTAATCGCGATGTCCGTCGGGTCACTAGGAGGTGTTTCGTTCAAGGTGGGAGGTTTCGGCTCGGATGGTGGTGTCGACGACTGCGGCCTTGGCGTAGGCGATCGGGCGGTGTTGATGTTGTTATTTGCGGTGCTGTTGTTATTGTTGTTGTTGTTAGTCATTGCAACAGATGATGCTAAACTGACTGGTGCTTGTAAATTATTATTAGGACTAGTAAAAGGCGGTGTCAGTTTTCGTGAAGAAGGCGATGAATTGCCGTTGTTGGCCGCCCCGGGACTAGTCGTTCCGGCCAACTGTCTCAGCCTCTGAGAATAGAAGTCGATTTGCGGCTCGAGGGGAAGGTTCAAAGCCGGTGGAGGAGGAGGTACGGGAGTTCTCGAAACGGTGGACGTCGGTAGGATTGGGGAGGGCCTTTCATTCGGTGGCGGCCCAAAAGGTGAATGAGGTGGAGGAACCCCGCTTACTGCCGCCACCGCTGCTGCCAGGCCCAAGCTGTGATGCTGACTGAGTCTAAACTGCTCCGAGACAAGCTGCTCCATGCGAAAATGGTGTTCGTTATGACTAGAGGGTCGGGCGAATAACGTTCCCGAGCTAGGACCCAAAGAGCTCGGAGGGAATTGATGGTGCCTTGGCGGCTCTATCGGCATCCTCAAAATTCCACCGACAGTAAAAGGGTTGTGCATCGATAGGTGAGGTTCGACGATTGGCGATGAAGTCGGAATTCCGAGCCTGGGCTGAGACGCCATGGATAGCGGCGTTCCTATCCCCAGCGCATTTCCTCCAGACGAACACCCAGAAGACGACGACGAACAAGTTGATGAAGTCGACTGATTTTTGGCAGCGCTTGACGTCCCTGGCGACGAACCGATGGACGACGTTGATCCCGAAGGTGAACACTCAATGTATATTTTTATTCCGTGACTATTCTGTACGTGTTGCACCAGCCGCCACGCCGAGTGAAGCCTCGCTTTGCACGTCGAACAGACATAGTTGCTTGGTTCTGAAACAAAACCGTAACAATTCGATTAACATCAATTGTTATACAAAAAATAAAAGTAAAAAATTCAAAGATTAAGGTAAGTGGCAGCAGAAGAAGCCAATTCTCACTTCCACTTATGTAATCTTTTGGCCACTGTTCGAAAGCCCTTTATTTATAATGTGCTGAAAACCGGCTTTCCCGTAAATAAGGAGATATGCACAAGGCGGGTAAAAGATCTCCCAGGAGGTCCCTGGTAATGGATTGGTAGGGAGGATTACGGAGGCTGCGGCGGAGCAGAGGAGGCGCAGGGGCCGGGGAAGGCGACTTCCGCTTCCTTTTCTCCTCCTACCATTTCCGTCCTTCCATCTTCCTCTCTCCCTTCAAACTGTGCAACCAGATGACCCAAAACTATTTACAGCCCTCCCAGATAATAAAAAAGATAGTGTACAAAGAGCGTACGCGAAAGAAATAATGTTCAAATAAATTATTTACTTATTTCGATTTTTTTTTATTATTTTAAATTACAGAAATCAGATTTATTGATAATCCCGACACGAAAATCGGCGTGAATTCTCTCCAGTCCTTTTTTTCAATCACAAATAATTTATTACCGGGCTGGCGCAAGGTGTTGTCGGAGGGGGTGGCATTCAATGACCATCTCGTTATGTATGCGGCCTCCGTCCGGTCCACCCGCTTCTCACCCCCTTTACACTTTTATCAATAACAAAGATTCCCCATCTCCTCTGCAGACTCCGGATATCAAATATATCTGTTGTGCAGAGAAATTCGGTTCCTTTAAAATAAAAAAAATAAAAAGAAACGAAAGGCAGTCGCCGCCCACGCCCGGGGCTAATTATTAAATCGGGACAATGGGGCGAGAGGCGATTAATTTGTCGGCGTACTCGTAGAACAACGGGCTCAAAACCGGTCATCCGTAAAGACGGACCGAAAGTCGTAATTGGGAAACTTTGTCAATTATTTTTAAACAGGCACCGCTTTGTCCCTCTCGTCATAATTGCCACATATTCCCATTTCCTGCCTTGTGTTAACCACACTGCTGGTTTTTAAAAAGTTTGCCCTTTCCAATTAACTAAAATTTCCTTATCTGGTTTTAAAGGGTTGACGAATAGAATGAATATTATATCATTTGGTAGGTGCCAATTATACCGGTTTAGTGGTTTCTCCCAGTAGAAATGAAATATACTTCGGTCCCATTGACCTATATGTACGAAATTTATTTTACTCTAAGCGAGAAAATTAAAATTATTAAATATTTACTTAGTTCTTTGACGGTAAAATAATCTCGTTTACTACATAAAATGACCGATCGGCGGAAAACGACCTCAGTAAAACTCTCTCTGCAAATTAATGTCTCGAATAACTTGATTAGCAAATTGTGCAAATATTTTATATTGCATTTTATTTAACAAGAATCGAAAAAATGAACCTTTTGTTTTTATCTTATAATTCAATAATATGACAACAATAATATTTATGTCTTTCTTAAATAACGGCAATTTTTATGACAATTTTGTATTTGTTGATTTTTTGATTTTTGTTTAAAAAAACAATTCATGTGGTTTTTGTAAAAGCAAATTCATTATTTGGCGTTTACAGAATTTACATCCATTCGCAGCATCTATATTTTTATATATTATATATTTAAATATATAGATTCTGATGATGTAAATTCCCGTAACGTCAAAACAAATGTTTAAATAAGTAATAAATTTTCTTTAAAAACCACATGAATCGTTCTTTTAAAGAAAAATCAAAACTTACATTTTATCGCACACAATCATTGCCTGTATGGAAACAGTATTTTACAAAAAGCTTTTATAATCATTAACCTTGGTTAAAAAAAAAAAAAAAAGAAATCATCAGATAGATTCACCAGTTTTATAAGTTGTAACCTTTTTTTTTTCAATTTCACTGGAAATTAATGGCTGGAATAACTGCATCTTCCAATTTTGCAAATGTTTTATTTGACACGACTTGGAAAGTATCATGGTTTACATTTCTTCTTAAAATTTTAATAATATGACAATGATAATATTTTATTGCACATAGAAACATTATTTGACCAAAAACGTTTACAATCAAACACCATAGTAAAAAAAATAGTTTCAATAATCGGCTAAAATCTGCGATAAATTTTTTTAATTTCAATTGAGGAAAATATGTGACAAAATAAATGTTATCCAAACGATCGAAAATTTATCAGTTTTATAATATGTAAAATATTTTGTTATATGTGTTCAAAAAACTTTTGAAAAATCTCACTGGAAATTAATGGCTGGAATAACTGCATTGTCCAATTTTGGAAATGTTTTGTTTTATATTTTAATTAAGACAACTTAGATAAAATCATGCTTTCGTTTTCTACCTATAATTTTAATAATATGACAATGATAATATTTTATTGCACACAGAAACATTATTTGACCAAAAACTTTTACAATCAAACACCATAGTAAAAAAATAGTTATCAATAAACGGCTAAAATCTTCGATAAATTTTGTTTATTTCAATTGAGCAAAAAAATATGACAAAATAAATATTATCCAAGCGATCAAAGATTTATAAGTCGTAAAATATTTTGTTATTTGTGTTCAAAAAAACTTTTGAAAAATCTTACTAGAAATTAATGGCTGGAATAACTGCATTGTCCAATTTTGGAAATGTTGTGGTTTACATGTTATTTAACACGACTTAGCAAAAATCATTAAAAAATTTTCTTCTTATAACTTTAATAATATGGCAATGATAATATTTTACAGCACACAGTTTTTGCCTGTGCAGAACATTATTTGACTAAAAGCTTTTACAATCATCAAACTTGGTCAAAAAAATAGTTATCAATAAAAAGCTAAAATTTGCAATAATTTTTTAAAAATTTCTATTGAGCACACAAATATTACGAAAGAAATGTTATCCAAACATTCAAGCGATCATTATTTATAATTTTTATAAGTTGTAAAATATTTTGTTACAGGCGTTGAAAAACTTATATTTAACAAAAATGTTGGATTTTTATTATTGAATTATGATTAAATTTTAGAACAATATTATTTCTACATTATTTACCCAGAATGTTATTTTTGTCGACATCATGTTTTGTGATAAAGTAATAATATAAATGGTTTTAAAACTATAATTATTAAACTCATTTCATAGGCCAGTATATGTCTTATGCTTTTTTGGTATTGTTTTCCTTCGACATTCATTACGAATAATCGGCATGCAAATGACAGATAAGTCGCATGACATTTCGCATAACAGAAAGGTGGGTCCTCTGAGGTCATAAAGCTTTCTCGCTATCGTCACAATTATGATACATCGTCGCATTGAATATATAAAAAGGGATGTTTCTTCATAAATTTACTCTTTTTTGTTACCAATCGTCTACGTGTAACCTTTGGGTGTTTCGGCTGTTCAATTATTGGTTTGTTGACCCGATTGTGACCTACGTCTTCTTAGATACACTCGGGTCATCTATAATTCATGACAGGACCCTGAGGAGAGACTCGCCCACGTCCACTCCTTCGATTGTTCCATTCATGAACGTTGCTTTTGACGAACCGTCATACGTATAATGAGGACCGTCGATCCTTAAACGTCGGCCTAATTGACGAAAATGTGGACCCGGTATTTATAAACATTCGCGGAAAATTTGGATAAAAATTATTTTTAGTGATGTCATCATGGGCGTGTGCCACATGCTCTTAATTATATTCTTAGGTCGCCCGTGCCGTGTCTACCTGGCTGCAGGAGGCACTGCATCTGCTCCCCGTTCATAATTAACCTTTAGACAAACCCCATCAAGATGTCTGACAATGCGACCCTTCGGGGAAAGAGCGAGCGATCCTTTTTTTAAAATATTTTTTTTTGCTCCCAACCCTTTCCTTTAATAAGGAGCACGTGGCCCGGCTTTTCGACACGATTGTCTTATTTTTCGTATCGCTCTTATTGGGGGCATCTCGGTTTCCGGTTTTGATTGAAAAATGTAAATGTCAACACTGTGATATGGTAATGCAATATCTTCCCGAGGCGGCCCGAGGGTGGACTCTAATGAAAATCCCGGCCCCCAACCCTCGCACCTAATCCCTTCGGATACTGTTTCCATTTAGATGGGTTTCACGGGACCGCCGCCGGAAAAATGAAACTGTCCCAGTCCTCAAAGCACCGACGTCAGTTTAACTCCATTATTACCTTTGTCACTTCTTCAACTGAAGTCTAAACACCTGGGGTATTTAAATAACCCGTAAAATGAAATTTCTCAGCAAAATTGTGTAAAGGAGGTATCATACACTTTCAATGAAATGTAAAACTACAAAATATCACCAGATAAATATTCTAAATGACTTTTAGTTAAAACCATTCGACAATTATTTCATTATTCTATTTCATTTGCCTAAAGAATCTTTAGATCTTCAAACTTTATCATCAATTAAATTAAGTAATCTGCGGTTATAAAACAGACAGATTGAATGCAAAGTTATCTGCAAACTTTAGGTTTAAAGTTCGTCAATTAGATTCCAAAACTGCAACCACCATGCAGAAACAATAAGCGAAGGAAATATGGGAAAACCCTTTAATTTTTAGGTAATGACGCTTTTACTCGATGCTGTTAAAAAAAAAATATATATATATATAATGCCAATTGAAATTTCCACAGTAAATAAAATTGTATTTATTACTTAAATGATAAAATATTAAAGGCTGACAGGGCAGAAGAAAGAGAAAACAGGGCACTACCGTTAAAAGGAAAATGTGTTAGGGACTTGACCAGCCAAGGAGGGATGTATTTGCATGAGAAAACCTCGAGGATGAAAAAGATATTCTCAGGGGCCTCTCAACTCTTGGTTGTTATTTATGAGGTGGCGTCATCTTATCAAGCCTTGCAACCCCCAAGATGGCGCCCGGGTAATGGAGAGCCTCCGTTGATAAGATATTCTCCTCCGGACGTATAAATAAATTAGGGGTGTTGCGGTCAGCCCCCCCATACTTTCGCCCCTTTC